TGTTGTGCTACTAGTAATGGGGTATCTTTAAAAACAGAATTGATTTACAAACGAACTGAGCTGCACAGTTAAGATTAAACATCATTATGGGCCATAGGATGGTCAGGCTTAGAAAACATGGGAGGTCTTAATGGAATGCTGTTGGGATGGGTTAGTGCTGGCCTCCCTTCCTTCTCTTCGACCTGCGGTTTCATTCCTTAAGGTATTTCAGTATTTATTGTTATTTAAACCCCTCTAGATCTTACATCCATGACAAGAAAGGGAAATATTTGTAAGGAAATAACATTGTTCTAAGCTTTCTAGTGGAAAGATGCTAGTTGTCATTACAGCAAGATACACATAAAGATTGTCAGATGTTTGCTTTGACCTCCTTAAACCCCATGGTTTGAGGTTCTTTTGGCAACTGCAGTTTTAATACCTGCTTTAGGACAGCAGACATCTTTTAAATTGATGTTAGGAATTAGCTTCTTTGCTGTTAAGCCCTGAAATGGGAATTTAATACTTCTGCTATGATTGACTGCGTTGGTTTTTTGGTCTTTGCAGTAGACTTCATGATTTTCCTTACTTGTTGGAAACCTCATAGGTCTGTTTCAGAAGTTGCCTTTTCTCTGTGCTTTCATATAGAAATGAGGAGGGATTGAAAATGTTACTTCTTTAAGGTTGCTGTGCATGGTCTTGGCCTGTTTTATAGGAAGACTCCCAAAAGTGAAGAGTAAGTGACTTTTTAGGCTCCCCATTTCTGTGTTTGCCTGGAACTGTGACATATGAACTGTTGTGCCTTTCCATCCTTCCCTGTTTGTATCTTTTTAACTGTATAACACCATTTCTATAGCTTGTAGGGGCTGATTTAAGAACACGATACCTCGTTGGTGCTTGTTGAGTGCTTCCTGGTGAGTACCATCAGCTCTTTCTCTGCCCGACTGTGGCATTTGGTCTTGATGAACACACCTCAATACCGAGCAATTACTTTGGAGTTGGAAGCCAATGTTCCAGGCTGGCAGTTTTCATTCTTCCTGTTGTGCTTGAGCTCCTTGTTAGGCTGACTGTGGAGATTTTTATTGCATCAGTATGAAAAGGCTGAGCCGGAGTGCAGAGAGGCCACAGCGGTTATTAGAGCTGCTTCCTACATTATTTATCTAGCTAAAAAAGTGAAATCTGATCTTGCTTTCTGACCTGCCAATAGATAATAGCATTCAGGTCCTTTTGTTGTTTTTTAACTGTGTGAAAAAGAAATGAAAGTTTAGATGATATTCGGTAGGTATTCATTTATCCGGAGGAAGTTGTTAGTTACAACTAGAGCTGGGAGAAGGATAGCGTTTCCTAGAATCCCAGACTGGTTTGGGTTGAAGGGACCTTAAAGCTCATCCAGCTCCAACCCCTGCCACGGGCAGGGACCCCTTCCACTGGAGCAGCTTGCTCCAAGCCCCTGTGTCCAACCTGGCCTTGAGCACTGCCAGGGATGGGGCAGCCACAGCTTCTCTGGGCACCCTGTGCCAGCGCCTCAGCACCCTCACAGGGAAGAGCTTCTGCCTAAGAGCTCAGCTCAGTCTCCCCTCTGGCAGGTTCAAGCCATTCCCCTTGGCCTGTCCCTACAGGCCCTTGTCCCAAGCCCCTCTCCAGGTTTCCTGCAGCCCCTTTAGGCACTGGAGCTGCTCTAAGGTCTCCCCTTCAGGAGCCTTCTCTTCTCCAGGCTGCCCCAGCCCAGCTCTCTCAGCCTGGCTCCAGAGCAGAGCTGCTCCAGCCCTCACAGCATCTCCATGGCCTCCTCTGGACTCGCTCCAACAGCTCCACATCCCTCTTGTGCTGCTGCCCCAGACCTAGATGCAGGCCTGCAGAGGGGATGTCACCAGAGTGCAGTAGAGGGGGTTGCTAACAGCTCCTAATAGAAAGGAGGAGTTAAAGTGAGAGGAACATGAACCAAACCCTTAAATCTAGTGGGAATGCACGTTTTCATTTCCATGCACTGATTTGATTCACACATTCTTTGATAATTAGTGTTATTTAAGCAATGTTATTCCATTAAAAAAACAGGACTTCCACAGGCAGCAGGGTGGAAACGTTCCTCTTGGTCCTGCTTTGCACCAGCCATGTCTTACTGCTATTTTCACATCAGCTCTAGCACCGAAATCCACGGTTGTTCCCTTTCCTCTCACAAATGCTCAAAAGGCATATTACACTTCGGAAATTGCAGCTTATAGCATTTCCTAATTGCTTTCAAAGCCTTTGAGTTATGGGAGCCTATTAAGCAAGCAGCACTTAAAAGCTGGTGATCTCTTACATAAAGATATTAACCCAAATATTTTTATAGGTACGCTTTTCAGCACATCCAGTTTTACAGCTGATTTTAGCCCCTGTGGTAAACAAGCATGCTAATGGAGCTGTTGGAAGCCCCTTTAAAAAGGAATCAGTGCTGTATATGCTGCGGGTGACATTCAGCTTTGATTAAATGCTGTAATAAAGCCTGCATCTGTGTTGTTATTTTCCAAAGGAAATCCAGAAGGGAACACAGAACACAACTCTGCTTTTGGTTTATCTTTTGATCTTTTTCCATCGCAACATGTGTCTCCAATGCTTCTAGATGGAGTGTTTGGGGTTTTTAAGTAGGGCTCATTTAAGGAATTAGCTGCCAGTGACAAGATAGGAAGCAGAAGCACGGGTTGTACTCAGCATGATCCTGACCAGCACCAGCTCTCCCTTTCCCTCTCCTGCTGCCTTATAACTTTCACTGGCCTGTTTGGCCATAGCGCAGCTGGTCTTGGACAGAGATAGAAGTTAAGGTAAGGTGCGTATTTAGATCACCTTTGCTTCCCTCCTTCTCCATCCTTCTTCTGCACTGTGCATTTCACTCTCAGACTGTCCTGGGTTCAGCAGCAGCAGTCATTTTTCTCCTTCTTAGTAGCTGGTGCAGTGCTGTGGTTTTGACTTTCAGCTGGGAACAGCGCTGATAACACCGATGGGTTTAGTTCTTGCTCAGTAACGTTTACTCTGACCAAGGACTTTCCAGTCTCATGCTCTGCCAGGGAGGAGGGGAAGCCAGGAAGAAGCAGAGACAGGACACCGGACCCAAGAGGTATTCCATACCACAGCACGTCATGCCCAGTATAGAAACTGGGGGGAGTTACCTGGGAGGCCAAGATCGCTGCTCGGGTTGGGCTGGGTATTGGTCAGCGGGTGGTGAGCAATTGTATTCTTTTCCCTTGTTATTCCCTTTATTGTTATTACTGTTGATGGTAGCAGTGGTGGTTTTGTATTGTACCCTAATTGCTGGACTGTTCTTATCTCAACCTATGGGAGTTACATTCGATTCTCCTCCCCATCCCTCTGGGAGTAGTGGGGACGAAGGAGGGGAGTAAGTGAGTGGCTTCGTGGTTCTGAGTTACCAGCTGGGCTTAAACCATGACACGGGCACAGTGTGTTTGTGTAAAGAGATGGTTAGCACCCGTTCCTGCAGAGGAAAAGTTACCCCTTTGTCTCACTTCCCTGGTCTTTGCAGAGTGGATGAAAGTCAGTCGATGGTGCAACACAGTACACCCAGGAGGTGATCCTGTGCTCTCTCCAGAGCACTGGTTCATCACATTTCACCAAGGAGAGCAAGTAGGTGTGTAGGGACAAGAGGGGAAAGTCAGCAAGCACAGCTCAGTGCTGGGTTATAGCCACAGGACCTTGGCTCCCTTGTCAGGGAGTTGGATTTTCTCCTCTTTGGGCAGTTTTGCAGGTTTTGACAATATTCCTTCTGTTAGGAACAATGGAAGCATTTCTGCCAGTAAAATCTTGGATAGACACAAGAAAGTCGTGATCGTTGTAGGATCTGAAAAAGACTTTGTCTGAAGGCTTGGCCTTTTCCCTTACCTTGCTTTCTTTTAAATCAATAGATCAAAGATCACTCTCTCCCTTGCCCTCTTTCCCAAACCTGCCCCTCTCATCCTCTTACCCCTCCTTAGCCAGGCTACATCTGGACTGTAAGTGATGTGTGCTTCTAGTAAATGGGAATCGCCCAGACCTGCAGGGAGCAGTGTCCTTGACTTAATTAAATGTTATCAGACCTGTATGAGTGCTCAAACATTAACCATGGAAGTGCTGAACTCTTTCGATGCTAGTCCTGAAGTTTGCCTTTTCCTATGGATTTGGGTTTAAGCAGCACTGCTCAAAGTCTCCCTTTCCTAGTTTAACTGGGGTTTAAAAGCTTTTTCAACCAGGATTTTCAGGTAAGACAAAGAGCTTTGCTTCAAGTTCCTTGCAGAGCTCCTGAAGTAGATGCCTCAAGGCTGCCCTTTAACACTGGACTTGTGAGTGAGTTGTGGTGGGGAAGCTGATGAGGCAAACTGAGACTGAGTGTTTCAGCTCTGCAAGTGGACATTCAGAAAGGGAATCAGGCAAAGTATAACATTTAAAGTTGTATATCCTGCAGGAATCTCATAAAGGAGGTTTCCAGCCTGCATTCCAATGCAGTTTTTAGCTGGTTCTGACCACAGGATTCTTGATGCAGAAGCCTAAAATGCTAAGCTGCTTCTCCGCTCCCAGTTTGAAGGTAGAGGCATTTGGGTGAAGAAGGAGCTGTAAGGCTTCAACCTCAGTTTTGAAAGTGTATGCAAGGACACAGAAAGTTTGATCTCTGGGTTGCATTGCAACTCCATCCACGCTGTAACTTGATAAATTCAAATATTACTGGAATTGAGGTGTAGCAGTGCATATCCTGCTTTTGTGGGGGGGGAAAGGAAAGAGCTGGGTTTATTGCTTAATATTTGGCTGTGCTAGGAGTTGTCCTCTTTTCTTCAAGTCTATTCTGAGTTGGCAGTTTCAGGTGCTGAGAAGGTGATGTGGAGCATGTTTTGATTTGGGCTTTCTTTAAGGCTCACTGTGTTCAATGAAGTCATGAAATTGAATCTCATTTTAGTATGTGATCCCATGGTTCGGTGCCAGACTTTGCTCTTACATGTACCAACCCCTGCCCCGTCCCACACACAGCGCAGTCACTCTGCTGTAATGTTCTTTGCTTTCAGGTGAACAATCAGAATAATGTTCTACATAAACTTGTTGGAGAACCTGAAGGTTTACATCAGCAGTCGACCTCCACTTGTGGTCTTTATGATCAGTGTAAGTGCTATGGCAATAGCTTTTCTGACACTGGGCTACTTCTTCAAGATCAAGGAGATCAAGTCACCAGAAATGACTGAGGTAGGTACAGCAAGTTTTCCTGAGCTAAACAGTGGGAATGCTGGTTTGAACAACATGCCCAAAGCGAATGAGGTGGGATTTTCACCCCACAATAACATGGGAGTGTGCAGAGTGTAATGGGAGATTGCCTTCATTTATACTTGTCTCTGATTCCATAAGGGAAGAGGTTATTGGTATGAATATTTGAATAGTCTTATTTCAAGGACAAAGCAGAACCATCTGACATGGATCTTTACTACAGATACAGCATTTCTTACTTTGTCATGTCAGCTAGTTTGTTTGTGAAGCTTTCTTATCATGGAATGGTTTAAGTTGGGAAGGGACCTTAAAGCTCATCCAGTTCCAGCCACTGCCATGAGCAGGGACACCTTCCACTAGAGCAGGTTGCTCAAACCCTGTCCAACCTGGCCTGAACACTGCAAGGGATGGGGCATCAAGTATTATCTAATAGTACTATTCCCTAATGAAGGAAACCTTGCTAGAAGCTGCTCATATCCTGAGTGTGGAGAGAACAGACCGAGTTAGCACCTTTCTTTTGTAGTTTGTTCTGCTGCTGCACTGAGCAGCGGTCAGGCAGTGGCTGGGACTGAACACATCTGACTCCTGTAAACACCTTGTTGAGATAGCAGTGATGGTGTTTGTGCTGCTTTGTGAGCCATGTAATTCTGTTAAATGGCTTGGAAGGGCAGATGGGATGGTAGCAGCAAGATCTGCACTGCTCTAGAGAAGTGTGAGCCCACAGTTAACCTGCTGATCTGGTTGAAATCTTCATGTTTGTCTTAAGGACTGGAATACCTTCCTCCTGCGGTTTAATGATTTGGACTTCTGTATATCTGAGAATGAAACCTTAAAGCATCTCATCAATGATACCACAACTCCAGAGAGTACCGTGACTAGTGGCCAGGCGAGATCTTCTACACAGTCTCCACAGACTCTTGAGGACTCTGGTCCAATAAACATCTCTGTTACCATCACGTTGACACTGGACCCACTCCGACCGTTTGGCGGGTATTCTCGCAATGTCACACACCTAAGTTCCACCGTTTTTGGACACCAGATTGGGCTCTCAGGTATGTGAGACTTGACCTTTATGAGTTGGCATGCTAACTGTGTAATCATGTAAAAATTCACCAGCTTGGTATTGTGCGATCAATCTCTGCTTAGAACATATATGTGTTTCCAGATTCATTGTGAGTATATTCCTCTATAGAGCCCTTCACTTGTTTGCTAGAAACACTTTTCCCTGCATTCAGAATGGAAAAGAACCTGCACGTATGCTGAGATTAGCCTTTGCAGCTTTAAATGATTAACTTATTGACAGTGGAAGGTAATTTTTAAGCCAACAAAAATCCAAGCACTAAAAGCGTCTACAGTGACTATCTTCAGTTGTATCGTGATACATCTGCAAGTCCTTAACTCATATTTTAAAGGTATTAATGTACATACATTAGAGATCAAGTACTATGTTGTCTAACAAAATAGAGTTTAAAATGCATACATGAATAAGCTTTCATATTACAAACAGCAACAAATAAGATGGATACTATTTCTTTGATGTGAAGAGACTGATCTGCTGTGTGGCTGCCCACAAGTAAGTTTTGACAGGAGACTGTAGGAAATCAGTAGAAATCGGTAATAGAACCTCATTGAGTTTTAGCTTTTACCAGGGTTGCATTTTATATTCATGCCTGAAGGTGTGTTGAGCCTCGGAGACCTGTGAAGAGACATTTACCATACCTGTAAATCCGTGTTACTCTATTTTGTTGTTGCTATTTTGCTACTGCTTTAAGAGCTATCAAATGCAAGTTCCATTTCTGATAGCCTGGATTTATTTTCAGTGTGGATATATCCACAAGGAGTTAATGCACTTTGTTTAATCTGCACCTTTCTGTCTACAGGAATATCTCCACTTTGAAAAGTAAGCATCAGCAAAAGCAAGTGTGGAACAAAGTCTGTGGGAGGAGAAGGGCTGCGGATCTATGATTTACTTTCTAATACAGTTCTCCAACCATGCATGAATTCACTTAGAAACAGTGAGGTTTTCATTGCTGCGAGGAGCTCACTGACCCCATTTCTTCTGGGGCAGGAGAGGTTACAGAGACCAACAGCTGGGAGTTTTGTAGCTTGGTGTGGTTTTTAACTTCCTTTTTGCTCTCTTTGTTGATAGCAAAGTTCCTGGATGACTTCAGAGGCACAGATTCAGGGTGATAGTTGCTGCCTTAGTCATTTGCGTGTTGTCCTTATCCTAGTGATCGTTGCTCAGATACTTCTGTGAACGAAACCCAGCTTTCCTTCTCTCTTTCTCAAAGGCAGAGAATCCCATGAGGAGATAAATATTACGTTCACCCTGCCGGCTGCTTGGAATTCCGATGACTGCGTTCTTCACGGCCACTGCGAGCAGGTTGTGTTCACAACCTGCATGACTGTGACAGCAGCCAGCAATGTGTTTCCTGTCACTGTGTAAGTGCATTTTAAGCACTCTTTCATAGGCTCATTACTGGGTGATTAATTCCTGAGCTGTTTCTGAGGTTGTTACTTCCTCATGAGCTTTAGCGTTGACTGGAAATGATGTACGTGCCCTCCTCCCCGCCGTAGAAACCTGGAGACTCTTGCTGTCTTTTGGCAACACTGGATTTCTCTGTGGATGTTTTGAGCTGTAGTCCCTGCCTTTCAGAAGGTGATTTGAATGTCACTGGGAACAAAAGAATCTGTGACTATTTGAGGAAGATGCCCTATAGTTTAGTTTCACCAACTTGTGTGAGAGCTCAGGCTTGACGCTAAGGGGTTTTAACTCTTCGCTGCTGAGAGATGAGCGTAAGCCAAGTGGTAGCAAAGCCACACACCCCAGCAGGTACAGACCTTTCATCAGAATAGTTTCCCTTTGTCTTCTCTAGACTCAGTGCCCCTATTCAATACAACCTGGAAAGGCACCAGATGAGTGAGTGAAGCCTTATGAAACCCAGTGTTGTTCCACTTCAGCTGCGGGATGTTGACTTACTGAAACAACATGCAGTTAAATTCTGATCTTAGTACAGGAACCATATGGTTTTTAAACACTTTGTTGGTTAAGCTTTGAGTTTTGTTCTTGTTTTGAGAAGTCCAAGCTAAACACATGTTTTGTGCTGCTTGACTCAGTTCTAAACATTATTCTTGCTGAACATGGAGAATGGCAATTAGAGTGCTAACTCTTTCTGGTTTTAATGCAGTCAGCCACCACATTGTGTTCCTGAGACATACAGCAATGCCACGCTCTGGTACAAGATCTTCACCACAGCAAGAGACTCTAATACAAAATATGCACAAGATTATAACCCTTTCTGGTGTTACAAAGGAGCAATCGGGAAAGTGTATCACGCTTTAAACCCCAAACTGACGGTTATAGTTCCAGATGTAAGTGCTGGGGTGGTTTTCTGGGTCATGTTGTATAAATGCTTAGCTCTGGTTTAACTGCATATGGTTCTGTTCATGTCCTAAACCAGTCACACTCGAGGCTGGTTTATCCTGTAGTGTGAGGGCTAGGGCAGAGTTAGGTGTGCTTTACACCTGGAGGGTGTGATGGTCTTCTCGTAACCTCCATGTGCCTCAGCTTTTATTAGCTAGCATCTATGTTTTGAAATCATTTGGCAAAAGACCCTTCCAATATATGGGAAGAGATCTCTACTATTAATGTTGAACATAAGGAACGTTTTGGCTCTTTGTGCCATGATTAGGAATTGCTTCCATTACTCTGCCAGCTGCATCAAGGGGAGAGAAAGTTGATTCATGAAGTAATTTCTGTGTTGCTCTGATAATTATTGCTTTAATGTAAAATGCCAGCTATCAATGCATTGTCAATAAGTGTTTTTCCTTCTCTGTGCAGGACGATCGCTCTCTAATAAACCTGCATCTCATGCATACCAGTTACTTTCTTTTTGTGATGGTGATTACCATGTTCTGCTATGCAGTTATTAAAGGCAGACCAAGCAAACTGAGGCAAAGCAATACAGAATTCTGCTCTGAGAAGGTGAGTCTGTGTAATGACAAAATATTGACTCAGATAAGGAAACATGGGAAACCTCCTTTTTTACATAGTACAGCCTGGTTTCTCTTATCTCTGGAGACATAGATTTAATTCCCTTTCAAAGAGACATGGGTGTTTCATTGTGGACACTACAGATGGGTGCCACAAAAAAAAAATGTGTGCTGTGTAGATCCTCTGAGTTTGATTTCTCTCCTACAGAAGTGGATTATTGCAGTTCAGTAAGTGCTGTAATGCAGTTGCTCTGTGTTACTTGCACTCTTTTAAATGAAGTATTGAATAGATGGCATGGAGTAGTTTCGTTTCTTATCACAGCAGATTGAAAACTGAATAAAACATGATACCTGATTCTAACAGTTGTTCATCAGAATTCAGTTAAAACAATGGCAAAGCTGTTGGAACAGCCCTTATTCAGTACTGTGCTGGAGACCTGCACCTTGCTTGACAGATTAAATATGAATATATTAAATTGTGAATGTTGGCACCTTTTGATCATAATGATATTTTGTAGTATAAGCCGGGGGGGTTGGTTTTGTTTTTAGTTTCTTTCTTAGGTTTTAGGGCTTTGTTTAATTGATTATGCAAAGTACAAAACACCTTCAGACTCACTTTGATCTCCTTTCCAAGTGCAACTTTTCAAGGTTCTTTGGAAAGGCAAGGACAGATATACCAGCTGCATGGAGATAAGTACTCTCACTGTCACAGGATTAAGAATCTGACTTTAATGAGATGTTTTCTTTCCCTTTTGTTTAGGTTGCTTTGTCAGAAGCATAATCCATCCTCTCCTTTGACTGAGAATGACTGAGAACCGAAATCATTGCCTGCTGAACCCGGACTGGGTCTTAACACTCTGTGAATACATTATCTTGCAATGTTGGTTTATTCCAACCAAAGACATTTCAAGTGCCTGTAATTGATTTGTACATATTTATAAAGGTATATTCAGAAGAGGTGGGATGATGCACTTGTTCCGCATTGCAGTGCGGCCGGAACTGTTCAGTCTTTACCTGTGGACATAGCCGAATGTTTGTGTAGATATCTTTAGTGATATGGCTACATATAGTCAGAGCAAGATATTTTTGTCTAGCTGCATCTGGGCAGGTTAAGATGCCTTTGCAAGTGTCTCAAACAGACCAACAGATCTTTGTTGTTTTTTTTTTGCCCAATGATATGTACAGTGTGTTTGAAACAAGTATGCACCTTTGATAGAATACTGCATTTCCAGTGCCACCAACCTACTACATGAATTAAATGGTGTTTGTGTGGCCTAATACTTTCTTCCGTTTGCTCCTTGCTTGCAAGAAACGATATCAAGGTTTAGATACTTTTTTTCTTTTGGAAACAAAGAAGTACATATTCACATTTTAATAGTGCTGTATTTAGGACAAACTTGTGCTTTTATTCATAGTAAAAAGTAAAAAAAAGAAGTGAAGTCCCATTTTAAAATGTTTCTTACTGGCAAGTATGAAGTTGGATTAGTTTGTTCTTGGTCTTTGTCATTCTTTTTGTTTCCTTTGGCTTGCTGAATGCCAGAGAACCGGTCAGCATCGAGACTACCTGGAAAGCTTTGCACTTGAGCTCCCATCCGCAGCCCTCACCACCAGGACTGGGTGTCTCTGCTGCAGAGCAGCTTTCTGTAACCTCTTGGTTTTCTTCCTAGAAAATGGAAAGCTAATAAAAAGGTGCATTGTTTGATCATTCTGATGGGCTCTGCACAGCCTTGGGCAAGTGCAGATAATGGAAGACTTAAGAAATCCCATAGTCTGTGACAAGGCTTCACTTTGGGACTCTCCAGCCATCTCTGAAGGAGAGCTGAAAATAACACTTTTATTAGCTTTGTCCCATTTCCATGTAATGCTGTCCACTCAGGGGAAAAGGACAAGGAGAAGACCAGGGCTGTTGTGATTAAGGTCACAGAAACCACACGGTAAAACACATACTGTTCTCTGTGTCCATTCTTGAGTTAGATCTTTTATTCCCTGCATTTCTCCCTTTCCTGTTCTGGCTTTTGCTGTTTCATTCTGGCTTCTTACTGAGCAACTTCCTTAAGCTTTTCCTGCAGACATTTCCACCACTGCTTTTACAATCCCACTGGTTGCCTTAACTGACCTTTCATCTTGTCTTTCAGCTTTCTTGTCAGGTAGTATAACTGCAGGTCTGCATACATACACAGGGTCTTTTTTTTCCCTCCTTCTGTTGCTTTAAACTACACAAAAGAAACCTAAGTCAAATATCTCACAGTCTCAGTTATGCTGGCATAAGATTCTTGGTTTACACCCTGTAGTCACTATTGAATGGTATCCTGCTGGTCTGTATGTATGGGACTTCAGTCACTTCACCAGTTTTGAGAGCATTTGAAGCAAAATAGTCACACCTTCTTCAGAACATGTTTCCTTTATAGAATTCCAGTTACTTAAGTGGTATTAACTAATGTGTGTTTTCCTCCAGGGACGTTAAGGCAAAGCTTTAGGGATGGCCTAGTTTGAAGTCTAGGGATAAAACAAAGCTTCCAGTTTTCTCCTGATGCTGCTATGGGCTCACACTGCTTCACTGAAATGAACCCATGAAGTCAAACCAGGTAGATGGCTTCTCATGGAAACTGTCCAAGCTGTTCCTTAGCACACACCCCCAGCCTTCTGCATCAGTACTGACTTGGAGAGTTGCTTACGAGGGTGGCTTGATCTGGGGACCAAAGGCAGGAATAGGAAACGGATTGGGGTGGTGGTGCAAATAGAAAACACCCAACACGACTCCTTCAAAACAGTAGAGCCAAGTTCCTTTCTGTTTCAGCCAATTTAAAACCAAACTCCAGTAGTCCAAACTGGAATTTGGTCTGTTGGGTAAAGCAGGTTTATTGGGCTTTTTAAATCTGTTTTTTGCTGTTGGGTAACTGAAGGAACCTGCTTTGTAACTTATCACCCACTACACTGAAATACCCAGAAATACTCAGATTCTAACCCACAAATACAGAAGGGAAAACATGAGAGTTGTGGTTTTTGCCCTCAGTTTACACCTTTGCACCCCTGTGTTGCAGCAGAGAGGGTGTCCATCAGGCTGAAATGCTGCAATACTCAGGGATACTGGGTTGTTCCTAGGCGCAATGTACAAAAGTTGAATGCAGCCAAACAGAAGAGTAAAAACTTAAAGTTCAGATCATATTGATCTTTCCTTTTTTGTTTTGTTTCCTTTTTCTTTTGAACTATGACTTGAATCAGTTTTGATTCTATTTGTACGTGTTTTCTTGTTCGTAGAAAGCTGCCATTTCCTTTTGCATTTTCCTTTGGCATTACATAGAAAATCTGAGCCTTGGTTTTCAACCCTCTGCAGGTGACCGTAGGGTTAAGATGGCTGTTTTGGTTTTGTTCTTACCTTTCACTTGTCTTGTTGCATGATGGTTAATCGCTGATTCAGAAATGACATTTCTCTCCTAGATTAATTTTGTGTTTGTAAGATGTGCATATTGCTTTGCAGAATAAAAACCAACCCAGTTTATCCTCTTGTCTTTTGTTTCTCCTGCCCAGTTGCTGTGGAGGGGGTGTAAATCGCACGTGTGAGGTGGACCATTGGAGGAAATTAGGAGTGCAAGTCTGCAGCAGATGGGGATGTCAAACCCTTTGTTTGGTACAATGAGCACTTTATGTACACTTGGTTTCTCTTTTATATATTATGGTGTAGGTGCTCAACATGAGAAAAGCAGACTTTGTGACCTAAACCCATCTCTCCTGTGGCTGCTCCTTCATGATGACTGTGTAACTTACTCAGCTGAGCCAAGACCAGATGTTGGGTGTTTCAGAGTGCCTGGAGGGGACTGGAGATGGTTGGAGGAGTTCTCTGGGTGGCTGTTGAAGATAAAGTAACTCATTAAGTTCTAGCTCCAGTCACTGTGCAGCTGGAGTAAGCTGCACCTGCGTGTTTTCAGTGCTCAAGAGGGTAGGAACACACTTTGCTTTGCTCTTGGAAGCTGGTTAAAAGCTGGGGTTTGTGTATGTGACAAATGCTAAGGCAGCCAGCCTGTCTTCCCTCTGCAAAACAAGAGTTCAGAGCATCCAAATCATGCGTACTCATGTGTGGTGGCAAATGAGACCTTTGTTTAAAAGCAAACCTGATTTGTAAGTTTTACTGGGGAGAGGGACTCTGAGAATGAGTAGAAAAAAGTGACTTTAATCAACCATTTCTTATGCATCCCCTTGGTTTGGCTGTAGGAAACCTGGTTGGGAAGTGTCTGCCCTGAACGAGCATTGATGTCCTGTGTTAGCACGGTCTGAGCTTGGGGTGAGGCTGTCCCTATGCACTTAGCACAGGAGTCATCGGCCTCCACTGAGTCCTGTCCTTAACCAGCAAAGAGGAAGAGAAACGCAGTGGGACACGTACCCACTTGTTTGTTAAACAACCTCTTTCATAACTCGAGCAGCCACTATTTGGTGAGTGCACAGCTTTGTTCAGTGGCTTCGAGAACTTCCTTGAAGCAAATCCTGTTTTCAGAGCTTGTGCTGCATAGTTACACTTGAGTAAATGTAGAGGAGGATCCCACTGGGAAATAAGTCCTTGGCAAATCAGCACGTGCTTGAATTCACTTTGGTATTTCCCAACCCTTTTACATAGGGGGAAAGTCTTGCTGGAATTTAATGCTTTAAATCAGGTTCTTCCAAGGCTCAGGATAGTATGAGCAGCTTACCACTGGGTGTCTTACATAGCTGGTACAATGAGGGGGGAGAAAAGGCTGTTTTGCTGCTAACTCCAGGTGCTGGCAGGTTGGATGGGTGGGGAATTCCTTTGATAACCCTGTAATTAGGCTGTTTGCTCATAAGGCTGGTGTTTATTAACAAACGGAAGCAAGGGCAATGAAAAGTGATGTCAAGCTTGCTCCTCTGGAAGAAACCCACATGTGGGGTGTTTGCAGTCACATTACAGCCACTGGTAGCAGCCTGATGCAGGTGAGGAGGAGCAGCAGCATCTGCCATCAGCGATGGCTTCTCTAACCAGTGCTGTGTGCCAAACACGTTGGTGTTACATGGAAGTGTTGGTGCAGAGGAGGAGCAGCATCCCCCTCCTGACAGCAGCACCTTTCTGTGAGCAAACTGAGCCTTCTTCTTATAATACCTTTTTGAACAAACACTCTCCTAAGTTCATACAGAGCTGCCCACACAAAGGCTGCTCTGAGGTATCCATTAACTGGGTATCCTTCCTGTTTGCTTTCCCCAGCTGACCTTGAGGAGTCTGTTAACCCCAGCTCCACTGAACAAATAGATGTGCTGAGCAGCAAGGTGCAAGGCTCTCAGGAGATCAAGGTTCCTTTTGGGGTGACTTGAGCTGCCTTTGTGTTTGTAGGGCTGTTTCTCCTTTACAAAGGGCTTTTCCAGCTCCAAGTGCTGTGGCTTTTACTGATGGAAGTCATTTATCCTCTGCCTAGAAAATGCGTCTGATTGACCATGCTGCTGCAAGGAGGAGGAGGAGGTTCTGTCCTAACCTGCCAGGCCACCCAGCAGAACCTGTATTCCCTATTTACCTTCTGAAGGTGTTCCTTTACAGGATGTTCAAGAAACGGCTGGGACCTAAGCAGGGATTTCCTTGTGCCCTCTTTATTGTTAGCTCCTCGCAGCGTGACTCCTGCACCTTGATGAAACAAATAGGATCATGGAATGGTTTGGGTTGAAGGGACCTTAAAGCTCATCCATTCCCAACCCCTGCCACAGGCAGGGACCCCTTCCACTGGAGCAGCTTGCTCCAAGCCTCTGTGTCCAACCTGGCCTTGAACACTGCCAGGGATGGGGCAGCCACAGCTTCTCTGGGCACCCTGTGCCAGCGCCTCAGCACCCTCACAGGGAAGAGCTTCTGCCTAAGAGCTCAGCTCAGTCTCCCCTCTGGCAGGTTCAAGCCATTCCCCTTGGCCTGTCCCTACATGTCCTAGCAACATAAGGTACAATCTATAGCTGCAAAAAGAGTAGAACAAGCCATAGACCAGCTTTTTCATGGACCTTATTAACGTCTGGGGATAAACCATTTCACAATACATGATGTTATCATCTGTTCTTTGAAAAGATCCCTTCTGTTAATGGCCTCTGTCGTCTATCAGGAGGAGGTGTTACAGCAATATAATCTCTAAGGTCTTGATATGAAGTACACCATGAAGTTGTTTTCTCTGTAGGGAAGGGATGAGAGCCCAGGAGCAACTCAGGGAAGGTGAGAGCCTGAAAAACACAGTTAAACCCATTACGTCCTTGTAAAACCCTTTATGTCCTTGTGCCCATTTCACCCTGGAGCCCTGTAATGAACACAATTGGAAACTTCTAGAAGGCCTAAATCAGAGGCAGGTGCGTTGGAGCCCTGGTCCTGCACAGCTGAAGCAGGGTGTGAGGTCACCAAGCACAGCAGATACCAATCACCCCTGAGTGCTCCTCACTTCAGCAGTGAGAGGCTGAGGTTGAGCAGGGCAGTTACCATATGGCAATCCCTGCTGGTCAGTGGGGTTACCTGTTCCCCCAGGGGACCCCAGAGAGGGATTTCCAGCAGTAAATGGATGGCTTGGGTGCAATGGAGTAACCCCTTGGAGGTGAACAGGCTGCACTGGAGCTACTGGATTCCTCTGGCCTTGGTGAGTCTCAGTCCCTTGCAGGGACGGTGGTGGTGGGGTGGCTGTAGGGGTGTTCCTTTGGTGTTGTGAGGCAAAGCTGGGCTTCAGAGAGAGCTCAAAGAGCGTTAGG